CTCGGGAAAGAAGTAAGACACGCGGAGCCCTCGCTGCTCTCGTCTCCCAGGGCGGCGATGACGCATTAGTGACGTCATGCGCCCCGACAAGGCCCGGGTACAGCCCAGCAGTTTCACTCCCGTCTCCGGCCTTCGTTTTCTGGGGGAAATTCCCACCGTTCAGCCAACCTGATCCCCTGCACCGGCTCCCGGTGTCCCCACAGCGCCTGGGCTGCGGAGTCCAAGGTTGGCCCCGCTCCCGCTCAGCCTCCGGGCCCACTGCAGATCATCCGGGAAGGGCGTGTCCCAGGGGGCGTGTCTCAGGTGGGCGCGTCCAGGTGTGGGCATGTCCTGGTGTGCGTGTGTCCCGGGTGTGGGCGTGTCCCGGTGTTGGGTGTCTCTGATGGGCCTGTCTCTGGTGGGCGTGTCCCAGGTGTGGGCGTGTCTCAGGTGGGTGTCTTCCGGTGTGGGCGTGTCTCATGTGGGCGTGTCCCGTGTGGGCGTGTCCTGGGTGTGAGCGCCCCAGGCTCTGAAGGGTCAGGCTCCCCGCCTCCCTGCCCTGCGCTCCGGGCCACCAGCAAGCCCCTCCTGCCTGTGGCGCCCGCCCTGCAGACAGGCCACCCCGTCGCCCCTTCCGTCCTCGCTTCTGTCCACCTCCCGGGGTCCGTCTCTCCTACTCCTCCCCCTGAGGGCCATCTGCATGCACGTGGGGCCCGCGGCTGTTCCTGGCCTGCGGCTGACCTCTCCCCCGCGTTGAGGCAGGTGGAGACCTTGCCATGGTTCCTGGACGGTGTCTGGGGCGGGGCCTGGGCTAGACCTCCTTCTCCCCCGCAACCCGTCAGATAGACACGGGGCGTGGGGAGCCCCGGCCTTGGTAACCCTGCTTTGTGGGGGTCACACTGAACTTTCATGCTTCAGAGATGAGGACCCGCAGGCAGGATCTTGGGTGAGCCCTGGGGACCCACGGGCCAGGCGGCCTGTCCTCCGCTCCCCAGGCTGCCCCCCCCCTGCCCCCCAGGTGAGCCAGGCCAGGCAGCTGCCCAAACATTCCGACAAGAATGCGGACACACCACAACGTGCCTCTCAGCAGGGGCCCAGCCTGCGACCTTGACCACGAGGGTCAGGGAGGGTGTGGCGGCGGGGGAGGCTACCCCACAGGGCACCCTGAAGGACACCCCGCAGCACAGCCGGCAGAGGGTGTGGGGCGGGACACAGCTGCCTGGCGGGGCCTGGACTCCTGGTGCTTGGACTCTGGCGAGGTCAGGGTCATGTGAATGGGTGCCCGCCTAGTGTTGTGAGATAAAAAATAGAGCCCTGGCCGGTGTGGCTCAGTGGGTAGAGCGCCGGCCTGCGGACCAAGGGTCCCGGGTTTGAGTCCAGTCAAGGGCATGGACCTCAGCCCTGGTTGGGGTGCGAGCAGGAGGCAACCAATTGATGTGTTTCTCTCTTTCACTCTCTTTAAAAATCAATGGAAAGTTATCCTCGGGTGAGGATTAAAATAGTGATAATAATAATACAAACCAACCTAAGGTCCAAACTAGAAGGAGGATTTAAATCGAAGCTCGTGCGCCTGCACATGGGTGTGACACAGACGTTACACTGAAGGGCGGCCGTGTGGCCACGGCAACGTCTTAGGCAGGCACTTCATTTTTATGAAGAGCATGTATCACCCCGTATTGTCTACAACATATAAATGTGTAGGCATGCACACACGTATGCACCTGCATGCACATACATGCACACACTCACGCACACATATACCCCCGCACGCACACGCACACGCACCCTCCAGGGCCGTAACAGGGGAGCTCCAGCAGTGTGTGTGGTTTACGCCTTTGGCCTCCTCCTCCTCTGAGGCCACACCCAGGGGAGCCTTCCAGGGACCAGGGCCCCGGCGATGGCCACACCCCAGAAGCTCACCTCCCGCCTCTCTCCACAGGGAAGGAGAGCCCGCCAGTGAGCGACACCCCGGAGGACAGCGACGAGCCCATGCCGGTCCCCGAAGACCTGTCCACCACGTCCGGAGGCCAGCAGGGCGCCAAGGCCGACAGGGGCGCGGGTGAGTCGGTCGCAGCCGGCGGAGGCCCCTCCGTCTGCTCCTAGGAACTTTGTCTCTGTCCTTCTCCCCACTGGTTCCCTCAGCCGCATGCTCGGGAGTGCAGACCCCAGGACGGGCCCCTTGTCTGGTAGACGCTCCCGGTAGCTCGGCCAGGGACCCCACAGCAGCCCCGTGGCCACGTTGGGGGCAGCCTCCTTGGGGGCACATCGCCAGCCCTGTCCTCCGTCCTCCGTGCCCGGTGTGGGAAGATGAGGGTTTGTGGGTTCTGCTGCTGACAGCCACCATCCCGGGGGTCGGGGAGAGCCCACCTGTGCTGGAGCTCAGGGCGAGAGGGTGCACACCCGCCAGGTCACGCTCTCTGCCTCACACGCTCCTCAAAGGCAACATTGAACTGAAAATAGAAAATCTGAAACACAGAAAAGAACAGGTGATAAACACGCATCTCAGAGAGCTCAGTGGACACACTCAGACCTGCCCACACCTGTCCATGGAGGTCCGGACTCTGTTTCCGGGCCCTGCTCTCTGCACGTTCACATCGACAAACACGCCCTTCACTTGCCCGGGGCCTGGAGAGGGGCCTCGGGCTTGGGCCGGGGAAACCATGAGGACTCGCACCCACTAACCCTCTAAATGACCCGTGCGCCCGGACATCCGAGTTAGGGCTCTGGGGGCCATCCTGGAGGAACAGGGAGCTGTCCCCCAAGTCCCCTGCAGTCTGGGGGTCAGAGTCCCCACGACATCCCTTAGGGCTGACTCCTGGGGGCGGACAGCACACCTGGCGCTGGTGGCCAGCCACGTCCCGAAGGCCCACGCTTCTCCGTGGGTCGCCCCTATGGACCCGAGGGCTTGGTGCTGTGCCCCTGGCGAGAGCCCCGGCCCCCAGTGCTCCTGATGGCGCCAGACTGCGTGCTCCGGGCACCTGGGAGCCGGAGCTGCTCCTGCCCGCGTGGGCGTGGCTGTGGGGGGCGGGCCTGCGGGCCAAGGTCTCCTCCTGGGCGCCCTGGCCACGGGGAACTCGACTTCGATGCTGCTTCTCCGTTCACGATCACGTTGGTAAAAAGTGAGCTTCGGAGTTTAAGATGGAGAACACCCGGCAGGCCTCTGGGGGTGCCCAGCCGCTGACGTGGGCGCTGGGACAGTCGGGAGCAAAGGCTCTGGGGACACAGGCCACGCCGGGGCCAGGGCAGGGAAGCCACGGAGGGCAAGGCCCAGGCGACACCTGTTCTCTCATGTGGGTGGGCCAGGCTCCTGGAGGTCACGGGGCGCCTGGGGCCGCCCCAGGGAAAGGCAGGACGGTTTCTGCAGAGCAGAGCATGAGCAGGGCGTGAGTGAGTGAGGAGTGCAGGCCGAGCCCCCACCTGCCCCGCCCCCGGCTTAGAGGCCGTCCTTCCCGACGTGGGTGGGCACGGGCATCCGCGTGCGGAGCATGTCACCTACCCAGTGTGCGCTGTGTGTGGGAAGCAAGGTGAGCGTGTGGAGAGCATCAGGAGCCCGGCCCGCGTGGCTCCGTGGCTGAGCGTCGGCCTAGGAACCAGGAGGTCACGGTCCGATTCCCCGTCAGGGCACAGGCCCGGGGTGCGGGCTCCATCCCCAGTGAGGGGCGTGCGGGAGGCAGCTGGTCAGTGATTCTCTCTCATCATCGACGTCTCTCTCTCTCCCTCTGCCTTCCTTTCTCTCTAAAAATCAATAAAAGTAAAACATTTTCAAAAAGAGCCGTAGGAGACGGTGTGAGGCCAGGGGATTAGGAAGCTGAAGGGCTGCTCCTGGCGGGCTCAGAGCAGGAGGGCCGGGCCAGGACCGGAAGGGGAGCGCCCCCCTGCAGA